GCATTTCTGAATTTGGTTTTCATTTCTTTGAAATTGCTAAAATTCTTTTAAAGAATAGAACCGTTTTTTTCCCCTGCATAATGACTTTCATAATTAACCCCACTCCCTAAAAAAAAAAAGTTTCAAACATTCTGATGACTTTCTGTACAATACAGAGAGACTGCATTTCAAACACATTCTTAATAATTCAGAAATACTTTCTTGCTTTTATCAACTTCCTTAGTCAAAGGTTTAATTGCATTCTGACCTTTTTTAATTCAGTAATGTATTTTTAAAAATGGAAGTCCTTTTCAGAGCTGAACTATGAGCCTTTATTATTCATAGTTTGGTATGAGACTGTGCAAAAGAATATATTACTACATTTTGAAATAAAATTGTGATATACATAGGCTAAAAGAGAACTGCAGGATCCCACATAAGTAGTCAAATGGCTTATAAGCATTTTAACACATTCTTTTTCTAAAAAGATCACTTTCTACTACTATCTAACTCTAAATTACCAACAATTTATGTTCCAAACTTTTCTGTTTGATACAGATCAGAAGCACATTTTCAAACCACACCATTATTATTCATTCGCTGTTAGTGGACAAAACCAAATGCTTCAAACCTTTGAACATTTGTTGAAAAATGCAACCAAAGACATTGCATATTTCCAGATCTCAAAAGCTACTGCTTTATCAAAAAATATGAGTATTATACATTTGCAGCAATTTTAAGGCACTAATACCCATGCAGTTCTATTTAATCACCACCAAGGGATGATGAAAACAAACAAAGGATTTAAATTAGATATTAAAATATTACACTGAGTGTACACCATTTAGCAAAGAATTCACTAACTGCTAGTATATCCCTGAATGGGAATGAAAAGTCTTAAATTGATTTTGCATGGATTCTTTCACTTTAATTCTAATCAAACCCAGAAATTTGTGTAGTGAGTTGCAAAGATGGTGGGTTTCTTTTCACAGGCATAATTAATAAGTCATTCTCTATATTCATCTTTTGAAAATTACAAAAGGACAACTGTCCTCCAGTTTTGAAAACAAAGATTAGGAACACCAAGACAGTCATATCTTCTTCTTTTAGAAATAAATGTAATTACTACCTCTAACACCAGATAATTTTAGTTTGGGTTTATCAGAGCTGTTTAAATATTCTTTTTCCCTCTGGATGGTATTCTTTAAAACCAGTTTCAATCTCCCGTTCTTGTATATAATGATTTGTATGTTGTAAACCTAGTTTATCTTTTCATGTGTTTTCTTCCATTACATCAAAACAGGTTTATTTGAACTTGCAATAACAGGAAAAGTTACCAGCCAGGATCTAATACTACAGGTGTATTCAAAGAGATGCCTTTCTAAACTTAAGGACATGGTCTGAGAATTCATGCAGAAGACACAGCTTGGTGTAATGATCTTGTAGTGAGATCTAATTTGCTTTGGTCCCTTTTTTAAGAAAAGGTACCAAGGTAAACACCATGGTTTATCTGCACTGTTAAATCTTGTCTATGCTTAGGATTAATTTGGAGTAAGAATGCCTCTTGAAAATGTAGTGCATTTTGGAAATAATTAAGCTAAACAACAACAACAAAATACTGTTATTTTGGAATTAAAGATTCAACACATGCAGTTATTGCAAAATAGTTCTGAATAGTTCCCGAACTTTAAATTTATATCTTATCTATGTCTACAACCATAGTTATATGTAGCCATCCCTTACAGGAAATTAATCATGGGCTTAAACTTTGAGATATGCAGAACTGTTACAAAATCAAGGGTCACCTGTGCATATTTTTTGGTACATATTAACACAATTAATGGATATTAAAACATTTCAGATGCTTCTGTTCTAGCTCAAAATGACTGTATTCTGTCCACAGAATTACAATATAGTGAACAAGAGTTCAAAATGTTTTCCAAAAAATATTTAATGTCTGACAACTATGGTTATTTTGTTTTGTTTCAGTAATTATAAAAAACAAACAAAGAAACAAACAAAAACAAAGCGTGTGTTTTGCAGGAAATCCTGTAGTATTTGCCTTTGTCAGAACAAATCATGTTTCTGAGGCCCTCCTCCGTTTTCTCTCATGCACCACTTGGTACACAAACTAACAAGAGTGAGATGAACTATGATAAATATTACATGTAAACAGCAAAAAAATTCCTCTCACAATAAAACATTGATATTGTCCAATTATAGCAGGATTAAAATATCACTGTTACATTTATTTCTTCTTTTCATCCTACCACTAGAATCATGACTCATGCAAATAAATATAGTTCAGCCAAGATTTTATAGAACATTTTTCCTAGACATGTTTCATTATTAAAATATTTTTTCATTTTAATGAATTTAAGTGGTATTGAGTAAATTATATTTCTAAAAAATTACTTATTTAATCAGATTTACAAATAAATATGATGAACTGATGAAAATTATGCATTAGATGTATGTTGGGTATTTTGACTACTCACATGTCCTTAAAACAAGTGAAAAATATAGACCTTACTTTATCTGCACCTTTAAATATTAGCTAATGATGAACAACATTCTCACCCTTTTGCAGTGCTGGGCAGCCTCTAACACTTCAGAAGCTATCTAACGTAAAGTTGGAGCTAGTAAACCCCTATTTGCCTGCTTCATCTACTTAAACTGCACAATAATCAATGATGGTTGCGCGCCAGATTAAACAACAGCCTCAGGTAATTCTGCTACCTCAGTACCGTTTTCTTGAGTGCCTGCCACAGAACTCGGTCTGGGCTGAACTGTGACTAAAACAAGTGACATGGAATAAGGGAAATAAGGTTGGACCCTGCCATGCGCTAATTTAAGAATGGAACAGTCTGTTACTATGCTGCCTTCTTGCATGCATGCTGAAGTAGTGATAATGTGTTTCAAAAGAAAAGACTGACAGCAACAGCAAAAGCACCGGCCGCATGGCATCTCAGTCCTACATTGCACTAGCTACATGCCAATGTTTTACTGTGGTAGGTGGACGCCAGTGAGACATTCGGTCTATAAGACTGTAAATTGTGTTAAGACAAAATATGTCCTGGATCTTCGAGTAGAGACTCTGCTGTTGTGACTGTCTTAAGGTAGCATGTTTTCAAACAACTAACTGTCAGACACAGGAGCAAACACTTCTCTAGACATTCAGCTGCGGTTGGAAGGTTTGTAGATAGCAAGTCAGCAAGATGTCATAGAATCATGGAATATCTCAAGCTGGAAGAGACCCATGAGGATCATTGAGTCCAACTCCCTGCTCCCCACAGAACTATCTAAAACTAAACCATATGACTAAGAGCTTCATCCAGATGCTTCTTGAACTCTGACAGGCTTGGTGCTGTGACTACTTCCCTAGGAGCCTGTTCCAGTGACCGACCACCCTCTCAGGGAAAAACCTTTTCCTAATGTCCCATCTGAACTTCCCCTGATGCAGTTTCATTCCATTTCCTTGTGTCCTAAGTCAACTAAGCAGCCACTAGCATCATCTAGTGGAATGCTAGTCCTTATGATGGAAGTATATGCACCAAACAGCAATTAAAATGAGGTAAATTATCTGTACCTCTCAGTCTGGTTTTGAGAAATTAGAAGCTCTAACGCCTCAAGACAAAAACTACATTCTACAGATTTTTGCTGTTGCTTGCAAATCACCTTTGTGTCTTACCTGGTGATGAAAGATTAGAGTGCAGACTTGTGTTGTAAGCCCCTGAGTTTTGGTCCAGAAAGGGCATTTATAGGGTCGCCTAAAGACCAGGTGCACTGGAATCTCATTCTGAATGTGGGTAAAGTCTTGCTGGATAGAAATTCCCTTTGCTGCAAGAACTATTAAATGTTCCTTGTGCTGATTCAACACTCCCAGGGGCAACACAATAGTAGCACAGATCTTTCTTCTATACTTTAAGAAGCAAAAAAACTACCTTAAAATCTAGTTGCTAACAAATTACATAGTACCACTTACCACATTGTAGGTCTAATCCTGTTGGCTTCATTAGGAGAACCAGCTATACGATTGCAAAATCTCTCCTTTTTGTGTTGAATTAACATAGCTATATGCTTAAAATTAGTATCATGTTCTTGACATCAACAATTTAAAACATTCTACACAACTTTTTTTTTTGCTTATGCGTATGATGTTCATTTTCTATAACTATCACTGCTTCCAGCAATATGTTATTTTAGTCCAATAAATAACACAAAACAATAAAGTTATTAATGATAACCAAAATAATGAAATAGTAGGAGTAGGTTAAAGATTGGTATTCATTTTTCAAATTAAATGCAAAAGTCTGCGGTAGTTACTTCTGAGATTGGCAAGTTTTACAAATAACATCACCAAGCCTTTTAGAGAGAAACCCAGCCGCATTAGAATGGAGTCATTAGGCAATACATTTATTTTGAAGCCAATTAACCTTTTGTCGGAGAAATGTCGGAGCTGTAATGGTTTTAGCAGTGGAGGTCAGCCTCTAACAGGGCACGTATGACAGTGATTATGCTGCCTGACATATGCTGTAGACTGAGAGTACAGCTGTGGAATGAGAATCTGCCTTCGTTTGTATTCTACTCTGCATTTTCAGGGAGCAGGCAATCTTGACCTATCCATTTAGGTAATTAAAGCTTCTATTTGGAAGTGTCCTGCAGGAAGGTGAAATCTGGGGGAGATAAATGGCTGCTGCTCACTGTATCCATCCACTTCCATCATTTGATGGACTGCCTGAAATAGGCTGCATTGCCAGGTCCTCATAAAAATAGAGATGAATTGGGCAGGGGACAATTCTCTAAGGCAAAGCAACTCTGTCACCTTCATTTTTGCAGCATATAATTTAATTGTGAGCCAAGGCAGACAGCTGACTCAGGGGCCTTTCTCTAATGTCTTCGCCACCATCTTCCATTTGCTAAGAAATTATTTCATTTTATTTACTTATAAGCCAACTCTGACAACAAGAGATGTCACTTCAATAAGCTCAGCTGGCTGTCACAGCTGTGCCATGACTTACCTTCCAGGCGATTTTGTTTCCTTTAGTATCATGCTCAAGGGCAATTAGGAAGTCTCCTCGCTCATAAAACTTGCGAAATGCTGTAGGCTTTGTTGGTCTTTCTTTAAATGCTCCTGCAAGTGGGGGCCCTCTTACCTGAAAGAAACAAATCCAAACAAAATGAAGTAAACCATAGTTCACTATAGTACTCTATTTTTAGAAAAAGCCTAATTAATATGGCTGAAAACAGAAATAGATAACAAAGAATAATATTGGTCTCCCAAATTATAATTTGCTTTCTTCTTTACATGCTATACTTCACTTTGAAAGTACACTTTGGCAAAGATCTACAGGTTTTGCCAACTGCTTTTTTTTGTTAGCACTTTCATATTGTCCCATAAAAACTGTTTGTATTTCAAAGTAGAGATCTCCATTACCACAGCATTTTTACGCAAAAATAAAACAACAGGAACTTATTCATATTATGTAGCAGAATTTCTTGGAAAATTAAAGATTTCTCATTGAGAAATATTTTTCTATTTGTTTCTTTATAGAAGCCATCTGACTTGTTTACCATCTAATATAACTGTCCTCACTTTCCATGGTCTTTCCCTGACCACTATCTAATCTTCTTCACCACATTCCTTTCTCAAATGCTATGGATTTGGCTTTCATATGAATTCGAGCACTTCAGGGTTGATAGCTCAAGTACTGAAAAAAACAAAGGGAAGTCTTCTGTCAGACCTCTCCTCTCTGCCTGTGTCGCCTTGGAGGAAGACATTTTATTCAGCTCTGCTGAATGGTCAGCACATTGCGTAGCCTGAGTGCCTGAATGACAGCCCAGTTCCAAAATGCTCACACCGGCACCTTTTTCTCAGCCAAACATAGCGGTAACAGCAACTAGCAATTGGCGCTAAGATAAGAGAATTTCAAGTACTTATAAGAAATCTATTGTTTAAGCTAATTAACAAAGCTAATCTCAAATGCTAAAAGAGACTGAGAGCGCTAAACTAATCTCAAATGTCCTTGACAACCAATTCTTCCCTGAGATACTCTGGCCTTTTTTTTTGTTTTTATAGCCATATATCTGGGATAAGAACTTCCTACAGTACGTATTGGTTTTGTCAAAAATGCCTTTATGACTTGCTACCTTTTATAACATAGACAATGTAATTTTCAAAAAAAGGCAAGAGCTTCAAGGATCATAAATCATACCTGGCATTTTGTATTGCTCTATTTGCCTCTATGTCTTCAGTGACCCTTATGTTAGTTTCTAGCAGTACTGCCATTCAGCTTTCCAGTGAGCAGAACGCAAACGTGTAACATCCTTTGCTTCATTTGTGTTGTTCTCTAATTTCACTGTGCCAACTAACTACAGATCTAAATCTGACTTGGCACTTTTTTCCTTCAAAATATTTTGACATCATTTTCCACTGGCTGAGGTAAAGGGGTCCGCTAGTGATATGCCTAAATTGTACCTCACTACAGACTTTTTAAACTAGAGCTACTAAACTGTGACCTATTGTTGCATATTGCTGTCACAGACACACCATGCTAGTGAAAATAGATTTGATACGCATAGCTGCAAATCTGCTTAGTAAACACATCCGCAGCAGTTGAGAGCAATACTCCTAGAAAAGCATTTCTAACCAATGTAAATAAATCTACACTTACTGTTCTGCAGGGGAACAATTTGTTCTGTGCCACTAGTGTAAGTACTTCCACTTGTCTTTAATTTTTTTTTTTTGCATTTCAGGCAAGTTTATAAGTCACTGATTATTTGAGGCCACTAGAAAAGTATCTATGTTCTTTTTGTATATATTCCATACACAGGACCTTCACATGTTCTTTAACGCATTATTTTCACTAAAATACTAGGAGTGACCATTCTATTAAATTTTAACTTAAACTACTGATAAAGAATATGTTGTCTTAATCACATGAGATATACAATCCTAACTATTTCTTGCAGACTACCATCATTAGAGGTAGGTAATGCAATAACAAGCTGCATTTTATCTGAAAACAAACATTTTATCTGAGAGCAGCCCTGCCGAGAAGGACTTGGGGGTGCTGGCTGACGAGAAGCTCAGCATGACCCAGCAGTGTGCGCTGGCAGCCCAGGAGTCCAACCGTGCCCTGGGCTGCATCCCCAGCAGAGTGGGCAGAAGGCGAGGGAGGGGCTCAGCCTGGGGAGGAGAAGGTTGCAGGGAGACCTTAGAGCAGCTGCCAGTGCCTGCTGGGGGCTCATAAGAAAGATGGGGACAAACTTTTTAGTAGGGCCTGTTGCAATAGGACAAGAGGTAACAGTTGTAAATTAAAAGACGGCAGATTTAGACTGGATAAAAGGAAGAAATTCTTTACTGTGAGGGTGATGAAACCCTGGCACAGGTTGCCCAGCGAGGTGGTAGATGCCCATCCCTGGAAACATTCAAGGTCAGGTTCGACAGGGCTCTGAGCAACCTGATCTGAGCAACCAGTGCTGGATGTCCCTGCTCACTTCAGAGGGGGTTGAGCTAGATGACCTTTAAATGTCCCCTCCCAACCCAAACCATTCTATGATTCTCACTATAGAAAACTGTTGAACAGTCTTTCCTAACAGCTGAATGACCATTCATAAGAGCCCTTTTTCTCATGCAGATTTAGCATTTCTCCATGTACAGCTCATAAGCACCTTCCCAGCTGCAGTGTGACAGTTTCTGAAGACGCATCTGGAACATAATTTCAGGGAAAGAATGAAGAAATTGGAAGGATAATACCTATTGATCCTAGTGACAGTTGAAATGATCTTATTTCTCAAGCTGCCTACATGAACTATGCTTTTCAAAATCTTACAGAAAAGTTATGGCTTGAACTTTTAGGGTAAGACTAATATGCTTTTACTGGCTCACGGGTAAGTAGTCACAAAGGGAGTTGCTAGAGGTTGGTATTGGGTCTGATACTGCTCAACATCTTTATAAAGCACACGGATAACAGAACTGAATGCTTGCTTAGCAAGTTTGTGGATGATACCAAACTGGGAGGATAGGTACTACAAACCAGAGGGAATAACCATCATGCAGAGAGGCCTTCACAAAGTAGAAAACCAGGCCAACAAAGGTTGCATAAACATAAGGTCTTGCACATGGGGTAGAATAATCCCAAGCAGCAGTACAAGCTGGGTGGGATCTGACTACTTGGGGTGTAGCTTTCCTGAAAAGGACCTGGGGATACTCATGGACAGCATTAAACTCGAGCGAGCAATGCCTTTGTAGCAATGAAGGCAGAATGAGCCCTGGGTTGCATTGGTAAGGGTATAGCCAGCAGGTCAAGGAGTTCTACTCTACTTGACATTTATCAGGACACACTGGAATACTGTGTCCAGTTCTGGTTTTCCCAGTTTGAGACAAAACCTGAAAAAAAGAGAGAGGGTCTAGCAAAGGACCATGAAGACCATTAGAGTTCTAGAGATCTTCACAGAAGGTTCAAGAAACTGGATGTGTTCAGCCCAGAGAAGAGCAGGCTCAGGAGAGGATCTAATTACGATCTTCCAATCCCTAGCAGATAGTTAAAGAGGAGATGAAGGGATTTTCTTCAGAATTATGCACAGGACAAGAGGCAACAGGTGCAAATTGCTTCAAGGGAAATTGTGTCTGGATACAAGTAAAGAGTTCACTATCAGAAAAATTAAACATTGGAATAGGTAGAAAAATTAAACACTGGCATAGGTTGCCCAGAGAAGTGGTGGAATGTCCCTGAAAATATTCAAGATTTGGCTTGGCAGGGACCTAAAAAAAACAAATCTAAGATCCAACTTTCAACAGAAGGCTGGACCAGATGATGTCCAGAGGTCCCTCTCAGCTGAGGCTTCTGTGATTTTATGTTGCTAAGTAAAATATACAAAAGGAAAGCATGCAATACTTTTCCTTGTGATAATGAGTTTTGTCTTCTCATATTTTATATTGTTGTAATTACTGGCTAAAAAGGTCATTCTGAAAGTATTTAATTTATTGGAAAACCAGTAACAAATGTTATCTTCTTCAACCTAGCAAAAATATTTCACTGCAACATAGCTAGAAAGATTAAGATGAGATTTTCAGTTAATTAAAGGCTAATATTCATGATGGCAAAGTATATGAAGCAATAAACATCTTCTCAGGTTCGTTAAATGCCAAAGAGAAGTTGAAGAGTTTGATAATTGCAAAACTAATTTATTGTAATTCTATGCCATTGAACTATGTGACAAGGTAAAAGACACAAGCCATTAAGCAAAAACAAGAGAAAGACCGTATTTCTTTCATTGACTCGTGGGCATTTAAAACCATTGTATCAGGCAGGTTGCATTCTTAGACTTCAGTGACGGCACATTAGGAAAATGACGAAGAAAAATTATTTGAAGCCAGAGTTAAACAGCGATCAGTTATTTGAAGAGTCAATTTTCCATGGTTCCTAACTGAGTGTCAAACTGTGTGCATACTCAAGGACCTAAACACATACCTGCATAGGACAACTGGTGGTTTTCGTGAAAACTAACACTAGCTCCATGAGCAGCTTGAGCCAGACAAAAACTGACACTGACACAGAGATCTTTTCCACCTCGCACACATGGATGCTACCACAACGTACTGCCCTCCATAGATGACAGCAGCATTCATGTATGTATTCAGAGGACCAGAGCAAGGAACAACATGATGTTTTGATTTTGGGGCTTCTTTTGTGTTGTTGTTTGGAGGTTTTCTTGTTAGGTTGATTTGTGAACTGTTAGATCCTTAAGGTGGTTTACTGCAAAGATGAGAGAATACATAGGCTGGCACAAAGGAGGGAGCAGCATGGAGTGGGACAGGAAGAAATAGGTGACGGATTCTTCAAGGAGTGGTGCTGAATTTATGTTGACCATCAAGAATTAATTGGACATACAGTTTCTCATCTGCCTATGCAGATACAGGTTGTTTTATTTAAATCAGAAGTCAATAATTGTTCAAGTGCTGTGTGGAAAATAAAAGACGTGATCATATATTAAGCCGTAGGGAAGCAGGATATTAAAAGACCAATGTTTCTGCTTCCTAAAAGTAGAATGCACTGAGATTCTACTGTTACATAATGATTCATATATTCAGAAAAAAAAAAAACAGTGACACTGTAATAAAATGTAATGGTTAAAGACAGATTTCTATGTT